GGGGGGGAGTGGTGTAGTGGAATAATGGAATAAATGTCTCTTAATGCATATATTCGTGTTGCAGTAAGCATATATTCGTATGGTTAGTAAGCATATAGTCGTGTGGTAGTAAGCACATATTCGTATGGTAGTAAGCATATAGTCGTGTGGTAGTAAGCACATATTCGTATGGTAGTAAGTATATAGTCGTGTGACCATAATTATAGTCATGAGGGAGTAAACAAGGAGATATGGTGGGAGACAGCAGAAACAGCCCAGGTCCAGACCCCAAACTAATTGAATAATGAGGGTGGAGGTAGTCATGAGGGCCAATGATGTATGTCACCAATGAGACCATGGGTGGACAATGGATAAAAACCTGAATGAGCAATGTCATACAAAACAGGGAGATGGGGAGAGAATGCCCATTTAAAAAATGCACACCCTAGAGTAATTTCCACCGGTATAAAATTAAATAACAGAGATAACCGTGGAATATGACCTGATATTACGTCATGAATAGGAGGGGCTCGGGGAGGAGCCCCCAAGTCCCAGGGAGAGTATATAAGTGTATATAAGAGTATATAAGTGTATATAAGCAGACCACTTTTCCCCAGAGAGCAGGTGTTAGCCTGGCTAACAGCTCATGAGGTTGACTTGTATTTTTCTGCGATAAACCACTCTGGACCGAGACCCAGCTGCCTCTGCTTCTTTTTGACCACTCTTTGAGATTTTTCAACTGCTTCTCCAAGATACTGAAATGATTGAAGTTAATTAAAAATGAGGAAAAAAAGCCAGGTAGGAGATCATCTTAAAGCCCAATAATCTATGACTGATGGAAAAGAGGATAGATTAATTGAACACTATGAATCATAATAAGGGCTTTGCTAAGGTCTCCTCACTCCCGATGTCCATCAGAATATACATCAAACTTAGAAAAGATCCTGTAATCAAAGTTAAGTTAAAGTTAAATATTTTCTAAACAAACTGAAATACCATGAGAGTATATAAGCAGACCACTTTTCCCAAAAGAGCAGGTGTTAGCCTGGCTAACAGCTCATGTGGTTGACTTGTATTTTTCTGCAATAAACCACTCTGGACCGGGACCCAGCTGCCTCTGCTTCTTTTTGACCACCCTTTGAGATTTTTCAACTACTTCTCCAAGAACTTAGTATTTTTGAAAGACTTAGAATAATTCACCACGTCGTCAGGAGGACATCCACGACAGTGGGCTCATCACACGACTAAACCCAGAAACCCTGACCCATGCGGGGATGGGAGCTCTCCTCACCTCGGTGCTGGCGCGTCCCTCCAGCTGCTGCATGAGTCGGGCCATGTCTTCCTCCTCCACCCGCCCCCCGCGCTCCACCTCCTAAAGCAGAGCAAACACCTGTCAGAAGCTCTCTGAAGAGAGCCATGTTTCCCCCGGAGGGCTCAGGGAGCAGCCGGTGTCACCGGGGGCCCACTTAGCCTCCTTCACCCGGGTGGAAACGGCACAGGACGCCTTAGATACAACTTCTCACACAGTAAACACACAATGGGTCATAAGTCTTTTTCCGTCATCTCTTTATAAAGCATGCAGGGAACCAAACGCGTTGCTCTGAGGCTCACAGGGTCCTCAGAGCTCATCGTGTCTGTGGACCAGATTTCCCTCAGACGGGGGGGTGTTACCTCCTGTAACCTGGTGAAGTCTAAAGGCGATGGCATTAGTAAGAAGTGTCTACTCTGTAAGTCGCTTTGGATAAAAGCGTCTGCCAAATGCATAAACATAAACATAAGAAGCGGTTCCTGACTGGACCACCCTCCTGTCTCCTACCGCTTTTCCTGACTCCATCTCCTTTTCCCTCTTCAGGAACTCCACGGCCTGCAGGATGGCGCGGTAGTCGTGGATTCCATGTTCCCGCAGGATCCTCTCGTAGTCTTTGGGGTCCTGACCTCTCAGCAGCCCCACGATGTCCACATCTCCCTCTTTCTTGGGACTCTTCTGCTTGGAGGGAGTCCTGCCAAACATGGGAACCGTTGTCAGAGAGGCGGCCCTCCGTTTGCAGGACGCACCGTTAGTCTGACTTACTTCTTGAGTCTCGTGCGAATATCTCCAATTCCCTCCGACTCCTCCTTCTTGGTGACCTCCATCTCTGCACCACTCTCGATCTCTCCGTGTTTGTTGGAGGCGACACATCTGTAAAGACCTGAGTCAGACTTGGTCACATCTTTGATCTCCAGCTTGGCATCCTGGCCCTTGTGCTCGATGGAGATTCGGCCCCCGGCAGTGATCTGCCTCCATTTTCCCTTCATCCACTTCACGCTGGGGATTGGGTCCCCTCCGATCTTGGCAATGAAGGTGGCAGTGCCCTCTGTGAAGGAGAGGAGTGGACAGTGAGCAGGAGCAAACACACCTTCAGCAGGCAGGACTCTGCGGCCGCCTTACTCTCTGACACAGAAGTGTTTTTGGGTTCCTC